GAGAGAGAGAGAGAGAGAGAAATGGATTGATTTAGAAATGTTTATTGAAGATTTAAAGCTCTTCCCACATAAGAAATGATGCCCAGACCACTGCGCCCGAAGTGTATGACTTGGAGACTGAGGTTTGTTGTTGGGTTTTGTTTTTTATCCCCTCTTTTAATGCAACTACTTACTAAAAATAAACCAAAATGAGCTTAATTTAAAAGATGCTGTGGCGACGTTGTCCGGTTCAAGGTCAAAAAGGCAGCGGGTTGTCTCCTGGTGGACGGGGTAGGGCAGGGCACAAAGGTTGCCCTTGGACAGTGTTCTCTGCTTGCTTTCTTGCTCGGTGGTGATGTTAATTAGAAAGCTGTTCTCCTCCGCGGACTGTCCTTCAGTTGTGTTCTAATTATAGACCTTCACAAAAAGGGCGAAGAGCAGAGCCAGCAGGGCCAGGCCCACAGAGATCTTCAGCGCGCAGGCGTCATGGAGCCGGTGCAGCCGCAGCACGGTCCTGGAGCTCACCGATCCCCGCTGACTTGCAGAGGAGGGGACAGAGGGCGCGCGCACGTGGCTCCCGCACCTGCTTCTGAACTCCTGCAGGGGTGGAGAGAGAGAGAGAGCGGGGGGAGAATCGTTTTAAGATGCAGAATAGGCCTCATGATGATATCGACCGAGTCACGGACTCCTAGGATGGGCTGACATTGATTTACTCCTCTGATTTGAACGAGAGCCCTGGTAGTGCAGTGGCTGTGTGTTGGGTTGGGCTGGACAAGGTTGGCAGTTCTCAACCACCAGCCCCGGCTTTCTATTCCTGAAAAGTTACCGTCTCAGAAACTCATGGGGCCGGTCTCCCCTGCCCTGGAGTGGGGGTCACTGTGAGCTGGCATTGACTACATGGCAGTGTGTTTTTGGTTTTTTTTTTTTGGATACAGGCAAAACGAAACAGCAGGCGGCCCTAAGTTAGGCATGAAGGAGTTGCAGGTACTTTCTCTGAAGGGTCAGGCCAAGTGAAAAGATGTTAAACAGATTATGCACGTGCTGTGTGGCGGAGGGGCGGGTGTGGAGACACTGGAAGTTCTGTCTGCCAGCAGCATTGAAAATGGCAGGATGCCCCACGGTCGACATGTTTCGGCAGACTTTAGCTTCCCGCCTTCAGCTAAGAAGAAAGCCCTGGCAAGCAATTGCCAACAAATTAGCCAGGGGAGACTGTATGGCCCATCACAGCAGTCTGACTCACTGGCTTGGGTCATGCGGCCAAGGGAGGTCCATCCCCAGAGGAGGAGGAGGAAGTCGAGGGCCGATGCGGGCATGTGATGGTGAGATGGATACTCCACCACATGTCGGTGGTTGTAAGGATGCTGTTCCTCACAAAGGTTGGTCTGGGGTACACAGGTCACCAGGAGCTAGAGGCAACTCAGTGCTGTCTGTCTATCTATCTACCCAGTCACCTACCTATCAACATCCACTCATCCATCCACCACCCATGCACCCACCTACCTACCCACCCACCCACCTACCCACCCACCCATCTCTCTCAGTGACAGATAACAATGCTTACGAACAACCAAGGCTGAATTCCTAGAAGTTGGAGTTTGTGCAGAGTGGGCTCAGATCTCAAATGCATGTTACTGATAGACACGGAATCATACAGATCTAGCCCAGAGGTTCTCAACCTGTAGGTCGCGACCCCTTTGGGGGTCAAATGACCCCTTCACAGGGGTTGCCCAATTCCTAACATAGCAAAGTTACAGTTATGAAGTAGCAACGAAAATAGTTTTATGATTGGGGGGGTCACCACAACATGAGGAACTGTATTAAAGGGTCGTGGCCTAAGGAAGGTTGAGACCCACTGATCTAGACAGAGACAAATAGCTCAGAACAAAGCATGGAGGGAGGGGGCCATTCTCCCGATCACTTGGTAACCCATGCATCCGGAGGACAGAGACTCCCAGCTGGCACCAGCCTGCAGGGGGTCCTGAAAGGGTCTAGGTGGCGAGAGGGATCCGCTCCCCAGGTACAGGCTCCGTCAATGACACTGGTAGGCCATCTAAACACGGCCATGCTCTCTGTGTGTCAGGGCAAGGAGAGGGTTGGGAAGCCCCAAGTGGGGCTTTAGAATTGGTGCCTCCTCTTATAACACGGGATTCCCCTGCAAAGACGTGAGTGGCACTGTGAGAAATGGAGGCAGGGTGGGCAGGGGCAGTGAAGAACATTGGGTGGGAACTCTGGGATGTGCAGAAGAACAAGAAATCTACTTCATCTGGGTTGGGATGGGAGCACAATCCACCTTTGGCCACCTGTTTTACGTTGCTTGTACTTCCCTTTCCAGCTCCTGAGCCATCTCCTGGAGGACACGGTCCTAAAGGCCCTTAGGGGTCTGTGTGGGCAGCTGTGTCTGGGCGCACGTGGTGCAAGCAGAGAGCCGTATTTTATACAGGGCACTGTATCGGCTGTGTGCAACGTGGATTCCGAGAGGAGGGGGAATTCGGGTATCCGAGGACAAGTTGTGATGGTGACTGCGATGGGATCTATGTTGAGATGAAAAGGAAGGTGCACGAATCTTGTTGTGATGCACAATCAACAAGAACGGTGTTCCAATGTGTGGGTAACAAGAGGGAAGAACAGGAAAGGGGAAATGAAATCACGTTTCCAATCCAATTCCTCCCGGCTAATATTTATATGTGATAAATATGGGGGGAATTCTTGCTTTGACTGTAGGAGACTAATTGCAAACTTAATAAAGCTGTTAGCCACAAGGAACAATCTCTCAACGCCAATGACAGTCAAACCATGATTTACTTCTGTGCTCCTGCAGTATCTGGGATGCCACCCTGCTGGTCCCCTTGTACTCTGAGCTCTTACCAAGGGGAGCACAGCTGGACAGAAGGGAGCCATCTTCCCCACACCCGACCCTGCCCCAGGCCCCATAGAGAGCTCTCTGGAGAGATGAGCTTTTTGTACAATATTCTGGAAGCTGGGAATATGTGGGCAAGCTTTGTTCCTTCGTGGCTGATTAAAAATAAAGTCTCCAGGACAGCACCTCCTGCCATCTTGGAAAAGAATGTTGAGTCTTCCTTCCATTGAAGTGTGAGAGACTACATGTAATCAGCTCGCTCTCTCTCTCACTCTCAGATGCAGGGCTTGGAAGAGCTTCATCAAATGGGAGAGGACCTGTCAATTATGCTCCCAAGCCTGAGGGAAAATCTCTCTCTGTCCCTACCCCCAGTTAGGAGAGGCTCGTTTGCTGCAATGCAATAAGCTGCCCTTTGGGAGATTCGAGGTTCAGGCTGAGCTGGGCTGGACTCCTGTCTTAAGGCACTGAGCATTTTGTTGCGTTTATAATGCATTCTGCTTTACAACATGGCTACACAGGTCGTGGGCCTGAGGACTGTGTCTGGGAAAACATACAAACAAGCAGACCACCCTCTGACATTTTCAAAACCTTCTTCCTTGCCTATCACTTGACATAAAATATACTCAAAATGGAAAGCAAAGTCAAGTCAAGTCAGCCTGCCTCGTGGCCATCTCCTGAGTGCCAGAGTTGCACATCTGTGAGGTGCAGAGTGCCAGGGCTTTCTTCCACGGCACCCAGGGGGCTTCAGATGGCCCCCTTTCTGTTAGGAGCTGAACACTAACGGCTTTCACCGCCCAGGGCCTCTTCAACATGGAAAAGCAACCTTCCAAAGGCTCCTGAGGAAGGGGAACGGCAGGTAAAAGATTTCTCCCTCGGCCCTTCCAAAGCGCCATCGCTGAGTCGCCCTGGAGTCTGCAGTCTGAGAAGCCTCTGGCCTGCCCTCTGAGGTCCAGGGGGAGGTGAAGGACACGTGGCTGCCTCTAGGACACATGCCTCTTTATCGTCTTCCCCTGCTGGGAGACTGAGCTCCTGATGAAGGGTGGCGGGGTGGGGTGATGACACGGTGTTTCTCCTGGAGATTTTTCAGGAGAGCTTCTCAGATGGCAGGGCCTTCAGGACCAACCAGCGTGGTACATTTGAACGCCCACCGAGGGGCCCTGCTGGCACAGTGGCTAAGCACTTGGCTGGCTGCTAAGTGAAAGGCCAGTGGCTTGAGCGCCGGCTGCTGCGTGGAGGAAAGGTGTGGCTGTGCGCTCTCGGGCAGCGTACAGTCCTGAGGAGTGGACACGGCAGTCCTGCTCAGTTCGACACATTTGACATGAGTTGGGTCACCTCAATGGGGACAGGCCGCACCGGGACACCTGGACAGTAGTTCGGAAATGTGGTGGTGGGGCTTCGAAAATTTTCACTCTCTTTTCATTCCCTGTTTCCAAGAATTTTTTTGAAGCTCCCTTACAGGAGCACTTTCCCCTAAAGTTCAAGATGCTCAGACCTGTAGACAGCATTCGGTTAGCATCAGGGGTCATGGACAGAACGTAAGGTGGCCTTTCGATAGTGCGATAATGTTGCTTATGAGTGAAGTGACGATAAACCGCCACCTTCTGGCTCACAGTCATCCTGGAAGACAGAGATGACCTGCGACGGAGGGTTTCCCCGCTGTCAATCTTCATGGAAGCAAACAGTCTCGCCTTCCTCTTGCAGAGCAACTGGTGGGTTGGAATCACCAACCTTGCGGTTAGCAGCCAGTCTAAGTCCCAAACCATAGCTCCCCCAGGGCTCCTTCAGCAGTCTTATCGAAACCTACTGCTGCCGAGTCGCTTCTGACTCAGAGAGAAGCTGTATAGGGAGGGCTTCCAAGTCTATCCAGCTGTATGGGAGTGTATGGCCTCGTCTTTCTTCGATGGAACAGCTGGTCGACTTGAACCATGATCATGCGGTTAGCAGCCCAACACGTAATCCACTATGCCACCAAGGCTCCTTCAAACCACCATTAGTAAAATAAATGCTAACACACAGAGAGGCCGATGAGTATCACTGGTGCTAGAGAAAACTTACCAGGGTCATACCTCTGAATAGTAAACGAAAACACACCTCTCTCCTAAATCACTAAATACCACCAAGGTTGTCTCTATTCTCCCAATCTTCCACAAGGCAGCTGGATGTTCCAGAGCCTGATCACGTATCACTTCCAGAACTAAGCTCATTTTAAAATTTGTGACTGATCCCTCCCAACACACACACACACACACACACACACACACACACACACAAAACATAACCAAAAAACATACTTATCCAGTTATTATTGGCTGAGGACATGCTAAGAATCCCCAGCGTGCACTCTGTTAAATGTGATGAACAGGGGCACCCCCCACCCGCTTATAAATCTGATGGCTACCTTGAGGGATTCTTAAGCATAGTTACTTGCTGATTCTTAAACTTATTCAACTAATTTTCAAAAGTACACCTAACCAAATCCTATTCAAATAATCAACCTGTTGAACCAAATTGAGAGGGTTTCAAAAAGATCAGAGGAAAACTCCATTATCTTTTAATTCCATTTTCCTAAAAACCTTTCCCTTATGCTTAGCAACTCTCGGGATCAGAAGTCAACCAGTTAAAGAAAGGCATTTGGGAGGACAACGATGGGGCTGCTGTTGGGTGCCTCTGCTTAGACAGGTGCTGCTGACGCCAGCAGAAGGCGGGAGGCAGCCAGCAGAAGACAGGAGGCAGCCAGCAG